AATCTGAATTGAGCGATGACTACGGAGCTATATATAGAACTTAGTGCATCGTTCAAGGTTGTATAGATGTCGACCTCAACCGTAGATAATCCAAACCCTCGGACTTCACCCTACAGGAATTTATACGAGCTGTCTTCTCCTGACTATACGGATCTATCTAAAGAAGGGAAAATAAAAGAGAGTCTAGAAATAGAGCTAAGCTATAACAAAAATGCCAGCCCAAGAGAAATCTTATGTAATCAACCCGTAAAAAAGCAGCACGAGCCAAAGCCAAAAACGGCAAGGGATAGGGGTACCGACAAGTAATTTGGTTTCCAACGGTGAGCGTAGGCCCACCTGCACACCGTTCCTTGACTTCAGCCTCCTAAGGATTGTCCCGTACGTTGCGGTTTTCCTGCCAACATTTCATCTGTGGGATATGACGTTACCAGATAGAATAGCCACGGCCAGTGGAAGCCTACAGCCACGCAGCATGCGGAGGCAACGGTTTGAGTCGGGGATTCTCATGAACTGCACTGCACTTTGCACGGTGCCCTTGCATTCGGAAGTATATGTTTGCTTTTGAGATATTGGGTGGCATGATTGAGTTTGCGTTGTGTCACCTCTATAGCTACTATATATCTCTATCTACGAAGTATGGCCGTGAGACTTACTCTCTACATTATATTCATGTACATCTACATGACTGAGAGGCTAGTTACATAGAAACTGTTTCAGACAAATAGATGCACTTAGAAGATAATGTAGATCGTGCTTCTGTAACTGATACCTCAAACCCTCAGACCCTCAATCCAACCAAGCCCATCTACAGCATCACATCCACCAGAGGCGATATTGCGGGGGCGGCAGATGGGGGACGAAAACGCAAGGAAAAACGCGGGGAACATCTAATCCAATCCCATCCAACCTGTTCATCTCATTCCGATCCCCAGATCCTTAGAAAAGCCCTGGTGTTCTCGCTACAGTACATCTCGTAGCAATCTTGTGATACCTCGGCACAAAGAGAGAGCTCCACCCAATCACAGCACATGCTCCACATAGGAGATGATCCTCCTGCAAGCCTCTTGATGTTTTGGGTATAAAGCCAGTTGTTTCGGTCAGGCACCATGTTCCTGGGCCCGTTCGCCGGGTCGAGATCCTTGTTTATTGGGTGTGCCTGTTATATTGTGTGTGTAGGCTAGGCTGGTTAGGGGGTGATCGGAGGGGAATGGAAGTCCGATCTCCTTGTCTCCCATGCAGAAATTGTGGGTTCGGGAATGAGTTGCAAGGTATACAGTACTCTACCATTGGATATAACTTTAGGCTTGCTAGGGCAAGTTTTGATCGGATCTATATCATACTGTAGCGTGTGCGTGTGCGTGTTCGTGTTCGATACGATATGGACGAGATGGATATATTGCCATGTGATACATGTAAAATACATTGAAAAGTCGCAATTAAATCTGTAGTGTTCCTGCGGGTTTTCGGGAGCAGGGTGGTCCTCGGCTACATCCACAAGTGGGCTATGAGAACCCGTTCTTCTTGCCCTTGGCCTTGCCCTTTGACTTGGACTTGCCCTGCTTAGCCCCGTTTCCGTTAGGCTGGGTCTTCTTGGGCTCCGGATCTTTGCGGACTGCCTCGTGGCCACACTCAGCCGCTTCATCCATGACCTGGACCACGGCCGATCCAACAGCTCCTATTGTAGGACTTACGTCCACGCCGCTGACAAATTGCTCGCTAAGGAATTCCAGACCTGCCACGAAGGTGCAAAGGGCGCTGGCAATGCAGAAGTGGCTGATTGTCATGCCGATGTCAAGCCAGGAGCCCTCGTCTCGGACCATGAAGAAGAAATTGAGAGTCATGATGTCTGAGATGGCCATGACGACCATGAAGAGGGCGCTAGGTGGGACTTCCAGTCGGCGGTTCAGGATGCCCAGGTTGGCACTGATGATAGCGAAGGGAATGAGAATTTGGAGGATCAGGAGAGCGCCTTGGCTAAAGGGGTTGAAGACGGGGACAAGACGGCGGACGCTGTCGAGGGAGAAGGTCGAGATTGAAGCAACGTTTCCGGTGCTGAAGAAGGCTGCCTGCAAGAGGAAGAAGAAGAACAGTGCCACACGGACATCGGAGAGCGTAAGAGCACGGTAATGGAAGGTTTCGCCGTCAACGGTGGCAGTGCCAGTCGAAGGCTTTGTGACAGACCCATTGCCGGCTTGTTGCGCCGTAGTATTGGCCTTTGTATGAACGTAGATTGCGTGTTCCAGACGAACCCATGTTACAATGGTCATGCAGAACACAAAATAGAACAGACCCTCCCATGAGATGGTGAGAATGATAAAGGTTGGTGAGAAGGTCAAGAAAATGACCATAAGACGGTGAAGATAGTGACTGTTTGGATACAGCCGGTGGAAGAATGGGAGGGAGAGAGAGGCCACTGAAACTAGTTAGCATTGCTCAAAGATGACATTCCCAGGGTCTTCGACAAATTGAACTTACCTAGTACAATCCATCCAACGACAATGTTTCCAAACGGCACGCCTTGGCGAGCCTGCAAAGAAAACACAGTTGATCTGGTCACAATCAGGGCAAGAAGAACCATGCCAATTTGAACTCCCATGATAACGCGCGACCCGACACGGCCAATGGCATTGCCATCACGGTGTCCAATGATATTGTCCTCGAATAACAGATATAAGATGCCAGTTAGGAACATGATCAGTCCACCATAAGTACTGTAGAAGTGTTAATAAGTGGCAACCAATTGAAGAAACAGGGAGCTTACATTGTGTCAATATTTTCCATCTTGATGACTGGGAGAAGAGTAAATGTACTCATTAATCCGCAACCAAGTGCCCAAGTCACAGAGAGGAGCGCATGGCTTCGGATGAAACCAAATCCATGCACCACAGGCCAAAATGCACCCAGAGCGAAGCAAACGGTGAAGATCTCCCGGTGGAAATAGGATTGAACTAAGGCCTCCATCACTCCAAGGAATGCCAGCAGCTGGAGACCAAACTTGAGGTATCCGGTGAAAGAGCGCACGTGGCCCAATACGATCTCACGACCGGCAATCAAAGCCTTCCGGCGCGCGAAGACCTCTTCCCAGAAGTATACTGGGAAGAATCCGTAGAAATAGTAGCGCCAGGAGGAGTCCTGGTAGAGGAAGACGGAGAACAGAGTAACCAAAATGGATGAGAAGAATGAAATGCTCGCTGTCGTCCGGTGAGAGTCTGACGTTCCATGCAAAACATGCAGATCAATCACTGTGGTCAGGGCATAGGCAATCCAGCCCAAGTATCCAACAGAAACGATAGTCCGCAAAAAAACCCAGTCGTAGGTCTGCAAGTAACGCAGGCCCTCGAGGGCAGTCCGAAGAAGCTCAGAGGATACCAAAATGGCCTCCTCGTGGTCACCACTGGCAATGAGTGCCTCAATTCTTGCCAGTCGGCCTTCGATTGAGTTCTCGTGGTATCCGGACAGAGGTTCATAAGGCACATACCGGATCACTGCGTATCTCTTTTGCTCCTCTTTCACGCGATACATTTCCAAAACTCCTTGCGCGTTGGCCAACGCGGCCAGCGCCTTCTCTTTGGGACTGGCATCGAGATAATCAAGCGGCAATTGGCCAACCGAGTTGACGGGGAAATCAAGACCAACCAGGTAAGCCATGAGCGCGGCAACATCGGCCTGTGCTACATCGTGGCGCCGGACCTGGTCGAATCCCCAATCGGCCGAAAAGCCATCTTCATGGCCCGGGGCAAGTCCGTCAATGGAAAATTGTGGTTTCGCAACACCAGAGCCCCAGACAACCAAGGGTGTACGTGTGTTATCCGGGTGACCGTCACCGTGACTGCCAGTGTCACTCATGCCATGGTCCGCAGTGAACACGAATGCCGTCTTATCATCGCCGTAGAAATCCTCCACGAGTTTTGTGACGGACTGGACTCCCTGGTCCACGATTTTTATATTGTGCAGATATTCCTTCGAATAAGGTCGGAAAGAGTGACCCGTGGTATCCAAGCCCAGCAGATGAAGGAAGAAGACCAACTTGTCGTCCCGCAGCTTCCGATCCAATTCGGGGTCCGTCTTCGCCGACTCGAAGAGCCCATGCACTTTATCAAAGACCCAGGTGTCCAAGTGCGTAGCATCGACAGTGAAATCCTCCGCTTCCTCACTGTACATCTCCGCATCAACCCTACCAGGTACCGCGCCCTCCTTGAACATGGGCAGAATATCAGGACTACCCCAGCTCCACGTGTGTCGGCTCTGGTTGAACACGCTGTCGAAGTTGACCGGGTTCAGCTTCCACCCGGTTGTCACCGAGGACACATCCTCGTAGAGTCCGGCGATAAGCGCAACATGGCCAGGTCGTGATTCGGTGGGGACACGGGTGTGCGAGACACCAAAGGTGCCTTCGGAGAGAACTTTCGAGCGGATGAACGGAGACAGGCGAATCACATCGTCGGTTTCTTGATCGGCTTCGGGAGATGGATCGGGGAAAGCTTGGAAGGCCTTGTCGGCTCGTAGGCCGTCGGCGACAAACAAGACGAGACGTTTTGCTGGTGCGACGGCTTCGGAGGGTCGCTCGACACCATATGATCGCATGCCACTCACAATCGGGCTGACGAAGTAAATGTCGAAGATTGAGTATGTATATATCAGGTGGAAGACCACCGCGAGGGCCAGGAACCCGACGCGGCCGAGACGCGCCATGATGTATCTCCTCTCAGGTCCAGCTCAGGGGGCTAAAGAGTGGAAGTGGTCCCCTGCCACAAAGAAAACTAGAAAAGAATTGAGCAAAGCAATTGAAAGGAGACAAGCATGACAGGCATGTCAAACGCAACACGTCAACTTTTGTCCGCATTGGGGGAACCTTGGGGGCGGTGAGAGCCAATCACAGAGTTTCAATTGCGCACGGCAGAACCCACTGTTTACACTAGAGCAAAGTAGAACACAAAACATATAACATTGACCTGCCCCAACTCCTAACAATATATGATAAAGCACTATATAACTCTCTGCTACTGCGCTGGAAGAGACCGGCGTTTGGTCAGGGCATCGATTACCCGCGTATAGAACTTGGCGGCCTGTCCACGACTGAAGGTGATATCCTCCACCAAGAAGTTCGGCAGCATATTCACTAAGTCGCGATCCCGGTTGGCATCCAAGAGAGGCAGGTACTGAATCTCGGTATTGTCGTAATTAGCTGATGCCTTGGGAATGGCCAAGTGGAAATGAAGAGCTGCAAGGAGGTTAGACAAGAGAAGGAGATTGCCCGAGAGATCTAGCAACTTACTTCCATTGATTCCAGTCTGGATGCAATCGTACACATGGTCTGTATCTGTGATTTTGACATCGCGAACGATCAATCCGGTAAGATCACTGTAAAGGTCTTCCTTTAGCTGTGCCAGCTGTGCAGCTTGCGCCGCTTCAGCGCTGGCTGCCGCATTAGCACGGTTGGCCGGGCCACCCTTGATGGCACTACCGGGAATCTTCGCAGCCCCCTCGATGCTGGCAGCTGTGTTGCGCGCCGCAGCAAGCTTCGTCTGTAGGGCCTTGACTTCGGTTTGAGCAGAGGCGAGTTGTGCCTGCGCCTCATCAGCCTGAGACTTTAACCTGGCCGTCTCGGCATCACGGTCATTGAGTTGCCTCTGCAGACCACGGCTCTGTTGCCCAAGCTTACGCTGGACTTCCAATTCTGATTTGAGCGAGGCAACCAATTCGTTCGAAGCTAGTCGTATGTCAATCGATCTGCTTTGACCGCTACAGGGGAATTGAACATACCTGTAGTAATCGTCTCACACTGTTTCCGCAGTTTATCCATATTGGCATTGGCCTCGATAATTCCGATTTCCCGGAGGTTCCGATATTTGACTTCCAACGCATCGTGCTTCTTGTTGAGTTCACCAAGCCTACGCCTTAGCTCTGGGTCACCGCTCTGTTCAGTTTCTCCTAGTTTGCGCTTCCGAGGAGAAGCATCCGGTGGATGGCGCAAGAGGGACGCTCGGGCGCGAGCATTCTTCACAGGAGACGTGATGTAGCGATTAGAAGCCGGTTCATCGGGAAGGATCGTCTCGTCTACGAGTTCTGCGGCAGGTTCATCGGCTTCTTGTGTTTCCTCTACTTCAGGCTCCGCTCTTCGTCCTTTTGCCCGAGGATGAGGACTGGGTGATGGTTGCTCTTGAGAATCCTCTGGAACACTGGCTTTCTGACTGTCGCGTGGAGTGTAATCGAATCCATTGTCTGTTTGAAGCTCCTTCCTCACGCTGGCTACAGCTCGTCCGTGACGGGTGGCTGCTGGCTTTGTGGCATTGGTCTTTTGTGCGCGCTGAGGGTCTTCATTCTCCTGGTCCCGAGTACGATCGTCCGCCTGGGTCTTTGGCTCAGGATCTTGCGACTGCGATACGCGACTGCTTCCTGGTGGTCGGCCTCGTTTCTTTGGTGCGGGGGCTTCTTCTGTAGCTTCAGCCACTTCTTTCTGTTTCTTCGCTCGCGTAGCTGGTTTGGGCTTGGGCTTGGTTTCGGTGGTCACATTTTCGTGTGAAGTACGCGGTCTGCCTCTGCGCTTTTTGGCGGGAGGCTCATCATGTGTCTCTTGGGCCTCTGTTTGCTTGATCTGCATTATATCCTCATCATCTGACCCCAAAAGGCCAGAGATCTTAGAGGGGGCTTTCCGTTTGGGCATTGTGCAATGGGGTGCTGTGCGGAGACCAAGTCGTGGGGACGCGCCGAACAAACAACACCTCTCCGCCTTGCGACATGTGACATTCCCCGGCTCCCGCCACAGCTGCCCGATCTTCGGGGGTTCGGTCTTCTATAATCTTCTCTGGTTTAGTTCTATCTATCTTATTTCACTTCTCCTGATATCTGTTTGTGCCTCTTGTCATATCTACCTATCTAATACCTTTTTTTTCTCGTCACCATGGCTTCAGCCGGTGGCCGAAGATGGCAGCAGTTCTTTCAAGAGATGGTGATGATCGCAGGCACTGTCAGTCTATAGTTCTTCATTTTCAAATCGCGACGGTTATTCTAACGCTATCTATAGTCCGCCTCCGCATATTTCCTAGTTCGCTACCTTCTATCACGCCTTGATTTCGACCCCGAGAGTCAGAAGAAAGAGGAACAACGGCAGAAGTCGGCAGCCATCTTACGTCGACTCGAAGGAAATGATTCAGATGAAGACTCACCGCGACGCGATGGGAAGCGGGGGCGAGGTCAGAAAAAGAAGGAGCTTACCCTGAATCAATACGAACAAGCGGTTGCGATGGATGTCGTTGCGCCAGAGGATATTGCAGTTTCATTCGAGGATATTGGCGGTCTTGACGAAATCATTGAGGAGCTGAAAGAATCGGTCATCTATCCATTGACAATGCCTCACCTCTATGCCTCCACATCATCTCTCTTGACGGCACCCTCCGGAGTGCTACTGTACGGTCCGCCTGGCTGCGGAAAGACCATGCTTGCCAAAGCATTGGCATCTGAGAGTGGCGCATGCTTTATCAACTTGCATATTTCAACATTGACGGAGAAGTGGTATGGTGACTCCAACAAGCTTGTCAATGCAGTGTTTTCACTCGCGCGCAAACTGCAGCCCGCCATTGTCTTCATCGATGAGATTGATGCCGTGCTCGGAACCAGGAGAAGTGGTGAGCACGAGGCAAGTGGCATGGTCAAGGCTGAGTTTATGACACATTGGGATGGTCTCACCTCAGCGAATTCCACGGGAGAGCCGCAGCGCATCGTTGTTCTCGGAGCCACCAACCGCATTCAAGATATCGACGAGGCCATTTTGCGCCGGATGCCCAAGAAATTCCCCGTTACTCTTCCTCCGACCGCCCAGCGACTTCGCATTCTCAGCCTGATCCTCAAGGATACCAAGGTTGACCGCGATAACTTTAACCTGCACTATCTGGTGAACACCATGGCTGGTATGTCAGGCAGTGATATCAAGGAAGCCTGTCGGGATGCAGCAATGGTACCTGTCCGGGAGTTGATACGACAGAAGAAGGCGAATGGAATGCAAATGGACGCTGTGAACCCTCAAGAAGTTCGGGGCCTTCGGACGGAAGATTTTTTCTCTCGCGCTGGTGGTGTCAAGGTCATTCCTCAGCCCACTTCAATGCCTACTGGAGCTGGCAAGGTCAGCGAGAAGGAGGATGGAGATTGGAGCACTGAGTCTGAGGCTGCATCAGAAACCGAGGCTCGTCACTCTGTGATGGCTGAACCTCCAGAATAATAAACAACAGACTTCTTTTTGATGTTAATATCTGATAATTGTTTCCCCCGCAGTGCGAAGACTGGGCGTTATCTACTGGAAGAGACCCTTTGCCAGGCCATGTTGCTAATTGATGGCCCTAGAATCTGTGTTTTGTGTTTGTCTATAGAATTTTGTGTACAATTGCTTGGATACCTAATATAAAGAGTAAGAGTGATCAAAGTGAAACTGATATAGAGTAACTAAAACATATAAAGTGAGACCTGTGGAGAGGAATGTACCGGTACCCATAATAGGTGGCTGTCCCCGGGCAACGTCATGTACTGCTACTTTGCCGAGCGGCGAAGTCACCTGCCGATCAACCTACGCCCCCGAACCTGGAACTTACTCCTACATAACTGTGGCTGCATTCTAGTCCTTGTACAGATCGCGAGCTCTCTTTATTTTCGGGCTCTTTTGCGTCATTCTCGTCGTCCACAAGAGTCCTGCGGGCCGTTATCGTCACCTCACGCCTCCTTGACCTCCTATCGCCCATCCTCCCTCACTCTCCTCCGTGGAACGTTTGCTATTGTTTTTATATTCTGGACCCTCAAACTATATGGTCAAGTCGCTTGTCCTACGCTCTTCAGATCACGAATGCGACCCCGGGGTGGACGAATGGGTTTCTAGGTCATTAATGGCAACTGGTGCCTTGGCTGCACACACTGCGGGAGCTCACTTGCATTCTTAGAAGAACACACTTGGCATTCACTTGGTTCTTTGTCAGGAATGAGTTCCCAAAATAGCTTTGTCAATGCTTCCCCAAGCTTCAACTCTGTCAGCGCAAGCACAACGTCAACCTCTACGGTCCGATCACGCCCTCGCCGCTTAGTCTCATTCATGGACGACAAAGATGACAGCAATAATAATACGAACTCCTACCAGAATGAATCCCAACCATTCTCCTCTGCATTGTCAACGACTCTTGCACCCTCCGAAGGTGGCACGACCCGGTCTCGTGGAGCAACCCCCTCGCCATTGTCATCCCGGGGGGCCTCCCCACTGCCAATGAAACACCCGTCGCGCGCGACCGAATCGATCAATCGTGGCACTCGCAACGAGACAAGTTCATTTGCTTGGAATGGATCATCAAAGGCCTCCTCATCGCGCGGTGCCGCCGACTTTCTGGACTCATCATGGTCATCCCTCCAGAGTCTGGCATCTTCGGTGCTTGGGAACGATACTGGACGAGCCACCCCAAATAATACGACAAAAGCTCACACGAGGAAGTCATCTCGCCCAGACGTATATATCAAGAGTACCCCTCGGTCGGCGCTTTCAACGTGGGGGCCATCGGCACCGACCTCTCCGCAGGTCGGAACCGGGACGAAGGAGGAACGGCAGGCTTTGGTGCAAGCTAAAAAGAGAGAAGCGCTGCTTCTAGCTGACAGCGACCCGATCACGAGCCGCACATTTCCTCACAAACGACGCGACTCTGGCGATACATCACATCGAGCCCCGGATCCCGAACACGACGAAGATGCCCTGGCCTACATTCACAAAGTGCAAGCGACAGATACTATCACTGGTGTCACAATTAAATACGGCTGCCAGGCTGCGGTTTTTCGAAAGGCAAATGGCTTCTGGCCTAACGATAACATTCAGAGCAGAAACATTGTCCTTCTCCCGGTCGATGCATGCTCTGTCAAAGGCCGGCCTGCCCCAACAAAGCCCGTGGATCTTTTGGGTCCTGACCCTGAAGACCCCAAAGACAGCTCTATAGTCCCCGCGGATACCTCTACCGATAATTCCTCCGCAGAAGAGACGCCTGTGGCTACCCCTGAAACGGATGACAATCAAATTTGGAAACATGAGAAATGGGTGCACATGGATGGGTTTCCGGACCAAGTACAAATTGGTCGCGTCCCTCGGAGGGCATTGGGATTCTTTCCCCGCACTCGTCGGAAATCAGTATCTTACACAGACGCTGAACCATTTGGTTCTTACCGCGAAACCATCACACCTCCTTCTCCAATAGGCTCACCGCCACCACCTTTATCATCGGGAGTACTCCCACGCACTCGGCCTAATGGCGATCAAGCTAAACCCACGGCCACGCGTCCTACTCGTCCCGGACACCGCCGTCAACGCAGTAGTCTGCATTTGTCTGGTACTGGAGTAGGGACCCTTGATCCTACCTCGACTGGACCAGGGCCCGCATTGGATGGGTTCACCAAGTTCTTCGCACAACATATGCCAAACTTAGCACCACTACCGCCCTCGGAAAATGCTCGGAAAGCTTCTTTCGAGTCTGCGTCAACCGCCACGTCCTATGCATCGACTGGTCTCGAGAACATTGGTGGTGCGTTCGAGGGTTGGATTCGCAACGTAGCAACGCGAGCCAAGGCCGGAATCAATGAACTGCAGCAAGGAACCCCCAACCAGCAGGGTCCCAGCCGGGGTCGCAATAAGTGGCGGATGGACGATCTAATCGAGTTGGACGATGGGATGATAGACGGCCGAAACTCCCCCAGCCCTTTCAAGGGCACATCACGGAGGTCTGAACTGCAGGGCACATCCTCTGTAGCCGCAGCGAGCAGGTCTCGTGCGACTGGATTCGCGGCAGGATCGGGTTCCGCACATGAGCGGGCGAAGGACGATTAACGTGTTTGATTGAATTTCCCAGCGTACATAATAAGAGTCCCCGTGTGTGACTCTTCGAGTTCACCATTGCATTTTCTTTCCCCGCCACCTTTTCTTTCCCTGAGCGGCTTGGCACTTTGTTTCTTCTTTGGCGTTGGCATTTTCCAGTGCTAAGTCGCTCCAAGGTTCGACCGCATTGGAGCATCCCATGCATGACAGGGCAAGATGAGCTTCGGACGCGCACTGGATTTCTGCATACGGCCTTTTTGGCCCGATTGGATAATTGGTCAATGTCTCAGATTCTGAGTGATGCCATCTTGGCTTCGGACAGAGCGAAGGCAGTGGCATCCCTGTCGTCTTCGTCACTAGCGCATGTTGGATGTGTACAATACTTACAATGCTCTTGTTGCTACTGCAGCAAACTTTCCTATATCAAACCGGCGCTTCTGCCTGATAATCCACCATTTAGATCAATTCTCTCTTTTTTTTTTTTTTTTTTCCCCCTGGATAAATTACTATCTTTGCAGTAGCTTGTCTTGCCAGGCTTTTGTAGAATCCCGCTGGGTGTCTCTTACTTCTTTGTGGCGTGTCATGGGTCCACATATACCACGGACAAGCTATATAAGAAAATCAGTTCTTTACCCCTGAAGAATTGAAGGCAATATGTACCTTACAGTGTGGGGATCAGATACCCTGGGGTCTACATGTAAAATACCCCGGAATTCCCCAGCTTTATTTTCCCGCCTATGAGCGCCCATAGAGCCAGGCCGAGCTACCTGCTTCACTATGAGTCCCTTCACAGCGGGGTTACACTATATGTAACTTGGAGTGAATTTCCGAGGCTAGAGGAACAATTTACCCCATTGTTCATATGCTAAATACCTGGGCATGCAGATGGGAATAAAAGCTGGCAAAGTGGTATATAAAAGCGAACTCCCTAGCCATGACATACACCAGCCTACCACAAACACCAGAATGCAACCAATATCGAGCACCTCGTCCTTTTTCTTTACCCTCCTTCTCTCATTGATAGCAGGAGCAACAGCAAACCCACCAACAGCAACCCTCTCCACCACAAAAACCTCCAAAACAATATTCATAGGCCGCACCCTACCCGAGTTCAACCAAGACCTCTTCCTAGGAATAAAATACGCCAACAAGCCAGCCCGCTTTACACCCTCGGAGCTGAAAACAACATACACCTCCAACGATAGTAACTCCGGTCCATACAATCTCGCCATAGCGGGGACTAGCACCAATGCCAAGTCGGTATACTACAATGCCACGCAGTATGGCTATGACTGTCCAGCTTATGGATCCGATACCACCAATCTGGTGAATCAGGGTTTTGTTTCGCTAAACGAGGACTGTCATAACTTAAATATTGTGAAGCCGCAGTCTGCGACGGATGAGTTACTTCCTGTTGTTATTTGGATTTTTGGGGGCGGGTGGACGCAGGGTGCTACTGCTGATCCCAGGTATGTTTACTACTTTTCTGAGTATATTATGTGGCTGACATTATGTTCTACTAGGTATAACATGAGTTATCTTGTTCAGCAGAGCGATTTGAACGACAAGCCTGTTCTGGGTGTTTCTATCAATTATCGACTGTCGGCGTTTGGATTCCTTGATTCCGACGAAGTGAGGGTGAGATATTGGATGTATGGATTCGACTTTTCGAAATATTGATTGAGATATTAGGCCGAGGGAAATACCAATCTGGCATTGCGTGATCAGCGCATTGCCATGCGTTGGGTGAAGAAGAATATTAAAGCGTTTGGTGGTGATCCGAATAAGATCACTATCTGGGGCGAGTCTGCGTAAGAAGCCCGAGAGATATTCTTTTCTCGCATCGGAATGTGATATTAATGTCTTAGCGAACAGGGGTGCTTATAGTGTTGGAGCTCACCTTGTCACCAACAACGGTGATAATGAAGGTCTCTTTAGGGCTGGTACGGGCAATATCCGAACACGCCTTACTTAATGAGCACGATACTGAACACAAACAGCAATCATGGATTCAGGAAACGCTGTTGGGCCCCCCTACAACGGAACCGAATGGCATCAGCCAATGTATGACCGTATCGTCGAAAGAGCCGGGTATGTCATACCTCCACCAACGAAACTGAATACTTTACGAACAGAGACTAACATATAACTCAACATCAGATGCACAAACTCCACAGAAACCCTCCAATGCCTCCGCGATCTACCATACGCAACGCTATACAGCGCCGCCTACGAAGGTTTAGAATGGTTCGCTACAATTGACGGCGCATTCATCTCCCAATATCCCCAAATAAGCTACAAGCAAGGCAAACTATCCAAGGTACCCATACTCCTCGGCACGAACACAGACGAAGGAACCAGTTTCGGAACGACGGGGACAAATACCGACGAGGATTGTATTGACCAGTTGATCTGTAAGTGTGACATTCACCTTTCACATAACCATCAAAGTATAACTATACTTCGTACTTACGCTAACAACAAAACACCCAGCATCTAAGCGCTGGGTCCTCAACCGCTCCCAGGCAACACAGCTCATATCCCACTACCCCAATGTATCAGCCATCGGCTGTCCCTACGGATGGGGAAGCAAAACCTGGCCCTCATTGGGACTTATGTACAAGCGATATGAATCAATGGCTGGTGATATAACAATGGTAGCACCGCGGCGATTACTAGCGCAGACGATGTCCGGTTTCCGCGATAGGGTTTACTCGTACCGCTGGGATGTTGCCGCGCAGAATAGTTCGAGCACGATTGGGGTGCAGCATTTTGCAGAGGTATGCTGATACTATTTTTCATCTAAGTTACTCTTGTGGTAGATTTACTAACTGGGAAATGGCCGTTTAGATCCCTTTCGTCTTTGCTAATCCCGTTCAGACGATTACACCTCTAGGCTCTGACCCTGCCCGTCTAGACCTTGGACAACTGGCTGCGCGAATGTGGACTTCTTTTGTGGCGGATTTGGACCCTAATGGGCATGGTGGTTCGTTTATCTACTTGGAGTCCTGTTAATTTGGAGATTTGATATGCTGACGGTTTATAGTGGCTGATATTCCTGAGTGGACTCGGTATTCGGATCATGCAGCTAATTTTGTTTTCCGGTTACCTCGGAATGAAAGTTATGTTGAGGATGATGGATATCGTGCTGACGGAATTAAGTATATCAATGGTATTGCGCGGTGAGGGGGCTAGGGAGGAAGCTATATATTGATGCTTAATATTCTCCTACCGAGAGTGTTCCTTACGTGTGTATATATTTTATTTTCTGTGGCAATTGTTGATATCGTTGTAGGAAATTTTGATGGCTCATCTTCCGGTGGCAAGATGTTGTAGCCTTCACGGTTTCTCGAAACCACTCTACTATGTTCATTGGTACGATATAGATCTGACTTTAGATAATGTATCGATTATCAGATAAAGATTGGTTGTTGTGCCTCAATAATCCCAGGATATCCTTCCTTTAACTGCCGGCGTAGAACAAGCTGAACCACCGAGCCTATAGCAATACCCTCTATCCCATTCATGGAAACCAGTCAGACGAATCACCTGAGCAGTACTTATCCTAGACCTACAGTATGCCCGACCATCTACAACAAAAGTCTACTTGAGGAGCACGAGAAACAATGGTAGATGCATGCCAGTCCACTCGACTTTCTTCGTGGGACGAGTCATGTCAAGGGACAGCAAGAGACCGCATTTATATTTCGACGTTGATATAGCCTGCCCACTTGAAAATGGGAACAGGATCAAGCCGGTCTTATCTCGACTTATTTATCTGAGTTGCGGATCAAATTTCGGCGAATGGCGTTTAATTTAAGCGCTCTTGGTGCCGATCTTAAGGAGCTCGACCTCGCTGTGGACAGTTAGCCAGAATGTTCTGTCTGATTGAAGGAAGAGAACGCAGTATAACTTACAAGACAAGGGGGGAGTTCTCGGGGATCAGACCGGGGAAGCCACTAAACATAATCGTTAGTATTCAGCTTATACTCGGTACCTCGGGAATGCGGGGTAAGGAGTCGGAAGTATTTAGGTAAGCTTATACGTACCGCGCACCGTAGCCGAAATCGCTGAAGAATGTTAGAAAAGTGTCTAGTATAGCTTCCACGGGATAACTCACGAGCTGATGGTCAGGATGGCCTTCTCGCCGAGGCTCATCTGGGGAACACCCTCGTCCCAGCCTATATAGAGAGCAAGTCAGCAAACCACTCTGTGATTATTCGAGGTGAACTAGGCATGTTGTCATCCAGGATAAGACCAAAGGGATCACGCACCGCGGATGAGACGACCGACACCGATGGGAGTGGCAAGGGGACCACGGCCAGGCTTGTGGGAGCTGTCGAACCTGTTGGGTTGAGAATAGGTTAGCAAGTGGATCACATCGAGATGGAGAGGATGGAGCTTACTCGGCGCCCATGAAGTGGTTGTCGGCCTTGCTCTCGTCATAGAGGCAGCCAGTGTAGTGGATGGCGACGTGCTCACCCTTCTTAGGGTAGTCAACACCGTTGCCCTCCTTCAAAGTCTTCTTTTCGACGCCCATTGTGAATGTGGTAGGATTGGATTGGAGATGAGTGAGATGAGAGAAAAAGATGTTGACGAAAACTGAGGGGCAACGGACTATCCACTTTTCTCCGGAGCGGGACACCTCTTGTCAATGCCGCTATGTGACGGTACCAGATGCTTGATTGAGCTCATAGTTTGATGAGAGAGCTTTATATTCACAGTTCTAGCTCATACCACCAAACAAGATATCAATTTAGCCCAACTTCAGAGTCGGGGCATCAATTGCAAAGTGAGGTCATAAGTATACACTTCCGAATGTGGTTTAGCGTTCCCATTCAGGACTAGCGGGGCTCTGCATATATCTCACAGCTCGACATCTATAGCCCTTACCGGAACAGCAGGTCAATCCAGCACTGATTTATGACTCTTCTGAAGAAGTATAAGTCACATGTAATCGGTTCTGATCTGTCTGTATATATACTGAAGCGAACTGAAGACGCGTGAATGCAGACTCACCAGCTCCAGGCATTCAAGATGCTAGAGTTCATGTTGCCACCCGGAACAGCTTCAAGGCTGCTAAGTTACCCATGGGCTAGCACGGTCCGCATAACGCACACTGCTGGTCTCCACGTCATACCATACTATTGGCCCTGTGCTGGAACTGCTTCTGGGTCATGCGTATTTTATGGGTTGCCGTCAGAGTCGAGACAAGGTGCAGTAAGAGTCATACATGGGTATCAACGAGATGTACCAATATCTGAAAGGCCAATATAGTCATGGTCATGATCTCATGCTTGGATACCATACACCTTGCAGAATCTACTTGCATGTGCAGAGCGGAACTCCTCCCCTAGTCTCATGCGAACGCCTTTCCCATGCAAAGACGAGGGATTCACCCCTATCCAAGCGGATGGATTAAGAGCTTTTATTCTGGCACGGCAAGGGCCAAGATAAGGGTGAACGATTGGACAGCGGACCCTTATAATAATCGTCGACACCGAGCCTGCGCCGACCGATCGCCGAAATCCTGTATTAACCAACTACCCCTTTGGGACCAGACACCGAAGAAAACCGGCATTTGCTAGGTCCAGACTCGGCGCAGCGTCAGAATAATGAACTGTAAAATTTTTATAGGCCTGTCAGACACGAAAAAGATACGGAGATCGCTCGGTGCAAACTCGGCTGAGGCATTACAGGCTTGCAGCCCTGAGTATATTTTATTTTTTCCTTGGTTAATGTTAAAGTTTTAACATTGGCTCCATAAATATATAACATGCTTGGTCTCGCATCTAAAATAGACAGAATCAAACAAGTCCACTCTACCATCAGGGCATTTTCTTGCCATTCCGCAAGCCTCCATACACCATGAGCAACACAGCGTCTATCAACCCTACGAGCTCCGAGCACTTGGACACTGTTCCCAATACCTCACCTCAATCCTCCCACAAATCGTCTCTTTTCTCTCGCTTTAAGAAGCACATCCACGACTTGAAGAAGGAATGGGGCCCTTGCATGGCTGCCAAAGAACATTGGCAAGACGAGTACACCTTCGCACCTGGCAGATATGCTGGTCAGAGACACAAACGAGAAATTTGAATGGTAAGTCCCAGCACAAATGAAACATCTGACATGGTTTTCTAACTTTTATTGCTTCTTACAGAAGCTCGAATGGCAAACATACCGCCACCCGGATTGGTTCGGGCGCTATACGGTACAATGGGATGGAATCGGATATAATTAACGACTGCAAAGACCTTAATGGATAATGTAATCATAGACTGAAATACATAAAATTATTTTCACTGACTGGAAATTATTTTCTCTTCTATTGTAATAGCGAATGGGTTATGGCGAATGGGTTGCGTATTGAGGCCGTTATAGTGTTCAAGTACACCCAGGTAGCATAGACTGCACTTCACATAACTTACCACGTCGTAGTTTCTCCATCCAAGTCAACTTGTCGTATTTGACAAGTCATGGTCTTAGTTCTATCATCTCGACTTGTGTCCACAATTTAATATATGCGTCAACTCCCCCACTATAAATGAGACCTACAGATATCCATGGCATATAAAGGGAATAGACATTTCTACCTGCTCTACATGTACATCTGGGTCTCTTTTCTTTTTCTATATCTTTGTGTTCTGTTTCACTTTCAGGTTGCCCATAGATGGCCGGGGCTATCTGTGCTTAGTCATCACACCTCAACCGCCGATAAGAAAAAAAACCTTCCAAGGTCCCATCAACCTCGTTCATATCAACATACCAGCTCAACGTCACAATGGGTGTTCAGAGGAAGACCAGAAAGTTCGCCTTGGCCAAGAGGGCCATCACCATGCGTGATAATCGCCTGTTCGTCACCCCGAATCCCAGTCCTGTCTCCAACCCGCTAACACCAATCCAGGAAGCAAAACCAAGACAAGAAGGAAGAGGAGAAGAAGCCCAAGGATGATCTGATCAGAGAAGCGTGAGTAATCTCTTGCAGCCTCACAAACACAAAAGTCTAACAGACCCCTAGTCCCCAGGCTCCTTCGTCCATGTTCTTCCAATACAACACAGCTCTCGCTCCCCCGTACTCCGTCCTGGTGGATACCAACTTCATCTCCCACACCATTCAACACAAGCTCGAGGTTATCCCAAGCATGATGGATTGTCTATATGCAAAGTGTATCCCGATCGTCACAGACTGCGTGCTCGCCGAATTGGAAAAGTTGGGCCCGAAATACCGTCTCGCCCTGCGTGTGGCCAAGGACACCCGGTTCGAGAGAGTCAAGTGTGACCACAAGGGTACCTATGCGGATGACTGCCTCGTCGACCGTGTTATCAAGCACCGTGTTTACATTATCGCCACCAACGATCGTGATCTCAAGAGACGTATTCGGTAAGCTCTGCACACTTGAGAAAGTTAAGGTAATCATTCTGACTCTTTCCTAGTAAAATCCCTGGTGCTCCCATTATGAGCGTTGCTCGTGGAAAATACGTTATTGAGCGTCTTCCCGATGCCCCCGAGAAGTGAGCGCATTTAAACGATATTCTGTTGCGTTCGGCCGGGCGTCTTGTTCGCCGGTCTTTTGTTACCATTGCGATACCCACGAATTTCTTTTTCTTTCACCAAAAGTTGCGACGAAACATATGCGTTGTCTTGTCTCTGGTAACAGACAACCCCCATAACACCCAGGACCGATTGGCGCCAATTTGAGATATCGCATGAACCGCATTGAAGCAGTGCCAACTACAACTCTCAATTCGGCGGCTTCGGATACAAATCAGCATCAGGTGCGATTGAAGGAGCCCTTCAAGGACATAGCTGCCAATTAGCCTAGCCGCGGCCCTCATGTTGTTAAATTCTACGATGACCAGCGCGAATATCCTCATGATGGCAAAGCCGATGAGTCGAGGTCCTGCTTGAAATAAGACCAGTGATTGCCCATAGGCCATCTCCTTCCACCCCAGTCGTTCTGGCGGACTGGGTTGCAGCATGTATTATATTTGTTAACAAAATGTTGTGAACAATCGACGAACCGCATCCTTAACGACCCGATTGTCAGCAAAACTCTCGATCATCCGCCGCCGCGACATCATGATGTATAGCGGCGGCAATTCCGCAAGTAGTGACTTGGATTCAACCGAGTCATCATCAGGAGCAGCGATATCAAGAAGCTGCTTCAGGATCCGTAGAGAATACAACGTAGCCTGGATCTGACCGAGGAGCTGAATATCCACCCAATCAGTTCTTTGACCCATGTATCCCTTTGCAAGGAACTTTTCTATTTGCTTTCCACTTGGGGTCGCGCTCGCATCGCGGTATACCTCAGAAAGAGCGAACAAGAACCAGAACCTCTCCGCAGCCAGACTATGCCCGAAGGTATCCCGTGCAGATTCAAGTCGACTGCGAAGTAACCCTAGGTTCGAGTTCACGTACTTTTCCTCGCTGAGTGCTACCTCATCGGCGACAATTCTCCCACCTCGGCGAACGTACTCACGCACAACCGAGTACCGGTTATCAGCAGCCCGAGAAAGATTGAAGAATGAATACCCAAGAGCACGATAATCCCGGCCATGCCTCCAAGCACACTGCCTAGCATGATCCTCACTCAAAATCCCAAGATAAACATGCGGAATTTCCTCCCAGCAATATGTATCAGGAAGTTGATACTGCCAGAACAACTCCGAAACCCTGGGATCCAAATCCTGAACCAACACCCCCGTCTCAGCAGAGGGCTGCGAATGTGTACCCTCATCTTCATATTCCCTTAGAAACTCACGATATGCACCCGAAAGCTCCGTCACACCCCCATCATCCTTAGCACCCTGAACAATCTGCGCAAACCTCAAATGAGGATTCCTCGTCAACCGAAACGCAAACCGCCTAATACTAGCAACACCCAACCGACGCGCAAGTGTATGCGGACAAATCCTCAACCCACGTATATCAGGCTCAGCAGGATCCCACACCCCAGAAGGCGTCTGCACAGAATCAAGGAAAACAACCGCGCCCTCAGGTCCGAGGTCGTGTAACATAAGATCCGAATCACCAGTTAAAACAGCTGACCCCGTCGCTTTCGCGACACGCGCACACTCCACGTCTGCTTCGCCGGGAACCATGACTGTAATCCCTGCCCAGGGATATTCTTCATGACCGACAAGAGAGGTGACGTCTTCGTCGATTTCTTTGGATATCTGCTCTTTGTTCCACCGGTTTTTGAGGTCTTCGTATACGACCGAGACCATAAATGGGTTCTCAGGGAGGTTCTTCCGTCGGCCGGGTAGGCCGCGACTGCACCAGACTTGGCCTTGCTTGGGGGAGATGAGAGAGCGGGATTTGGGTGCGGAGTGGAGGGGCAGGTCTCGCCGCGCGAGCTCAAGTCTTTTGCGGGATTTTTCAATTCTTCCTACGCGCGTCTCGCGTTTTGTGATTGGGAGGGCGCCGTCGAAGCATATTTTGTGGCTGTTAAATTGTTGTTGTTAGTGGGCTGTACTGGAGATGCATGTATGCTAGTTTACGGTGGGATGGGATGGGATGGGATGGTGGGGTGTGGAACGCTCACATTTCAACGCCTAGTTTTCTCAATTGGAGGAGGTAGCTGCATACCCCGCGACTGATCTCATCGCAGCTTGGTTGTACGTCGAGGATGTCGCAGCTTGGGTCTATCCATGAGAGGAGGCGGTGGTGGACATGGTATACTAGACTTGGGCCGTCGATGACGACTCCTCGTACGCGCGCGAGATCTGAGTCTGGCTGCCCATCCAGTTGGACGTTCTCGGCATATGGGAGGAGGTGTTTGGTGAGGTATTGAATTCCCATAGTGTGTAGGAAATGAATTGTAGGCGGGCGGATATTTTTTGGTGGTATTAGTCAGGGTTTGGGATGGGGGCCCGTGGACGGGAACTATCGATGGCTGCGATGTTTATTTCAACCCTAAGTCAAACTACATTGTCTACATATTTTACATGCAACGGTGGTCATAAATGTGTATACAGTGCCATGAAGTATTGAACAAACTCTACACGAAAGCCTCGAAGCGAGTATACCGTTTCATGCAAAGTTTTCGCCCTATATTGACCTCCCCTTTTTTCACCTTTTTCTGCCCGTTTTCAAATCAGTTAAGAGTGATGGGCTAATCATGTAGCTTAACTATGTAAAGGTTGGGAGGCGTGAAAGGGCGTATGGCCTATGACTGTACGTTGGACAAGCACATATATACGGAATCTTGGTTATGTAGATCCCGCAGGACTATGCATATATCCCGAAAAAGCATAGACGAATGCATATATTGATTCGAAGCAACAAATTAGACAGCTCATTTACATACGCCAAACAACCCATTCAATGACTCTAGATCTTTTACCGGGCAGACCGCAAGAACCCAACAACACCACGACAGTATCCCACCAACTGAGCCAAACGCTTTCCTTCCTGCTCCTGCTCATGAGCCCAGGAAGCCAAAGCCTTCTGCAACAGACGGTACTCAGGCCCATCTCTCTGAGAGCTGAGAGACACAGTATCAGAGTGAATCTTCAAGAAGACCGCCATCCAAGCATTAACCATTTCGAAGTCTCTCTTCGACTTCAAGCGGTTAGTGAGAGCAATGACGAAGTCGGACAATTCGGAATGTCCAGCGCGCACGCGAGGATCCAATGACCGGATCTCGAGATCGGCCTTGGCGGGAGGGAGTGATTTGAGGTGGTTGATGAAGGAATCATAGTTGCCGGATTTATGGCCGGCTTCCAAGGACCGAGTGAAGATGGTCTGGGAGGAGGGGCCGGTTTCGCCGTTTTGCAACTTGGCGATGCGTAGACGTTCGGCCTCGGCGGTCTGTGCGAGGAATCCGGCTTCGGCGGCTTCGTTGTTGGAGGCGGCTGGCTCGGGTCCGCTGGAGCTGAGCATGGATGGGAGGAAGAATGGTGCCTTCTCGGGTGCCTTGGGGGCCTCTTTGGGCTTGTTGCGCTCCTGTTTAACTGTTAGTTTGCAACTGCTTCTAATGGTAAAGGTGACTGTGTCTTACCCGGATGGTATCCAGATGGATTAATGACTGCCATCTGCTCTTAGGAACCAGACTGAGAGTCATCATATCGTTTTGTAGTTGTTCAGTCGCCAAAACTGGGCCCTCGGCCTCATCATCTTCAGCGATGTCAATAAACGCGGCCTCAACAAGACCAGCACCGCTTTCTCCTGATGTTGCCGGAACGCCAACGTTCTCAATAACACTCTCATCCAGGTTCTTGGTCGAGATGGGCATGAAAAGACTGCGGTTGCTCCAGAGGCTGATACCAATACCACCAGCATGTGCAGTGGCAAGGAATTCGCCTGTGGATGACATGGCCAGGGCGACACATGTGCTGGTTACCCGGAAGATATCGATCAGATGTCCTGTGGGCAGATCCCAAACGCGGACTACCGAGTCCATAGAAGCCGCAATGACCCAGCGTCCGTCGTTTGAGAAGATGAAGTCATTGACCTGGCCCACACATCCCCAGAATTCACGAACGAGCTTCCTGGTCTCGAGGTCGATCACGCGGATTGAGAGGTCATCACAGCTGAAGGCGACCAACTCACTGGCCTTGTTGTAGCGAAGTCCAGTAATGGCAGCCATTGGGTGCCAATCAAGCTCGTCAATGAATGATCCAGAAAGAAGGTCCCAGAACTTTACTTTGCCGTCCAATCCACAGCTGACGACGGTCCGGTTCAGACTATCAACCATCAATCCGGTGACAGCTTTGGTGTGCTTTGTCGAGGGCGAAATGTTGAGCTTGCTCACGCGAGATTTTGGTAGGCGGGCTGGGAAGCTCTGTCTGTGTTGTCCAGATTGCATGTTATACATGTCAATAGCGCCTCCGGCTGAACCAATGACAGCGAAAGTTCCACATTGCGAGATTGCCACGCTCTGTGAAAGACTAGTTAGTAATAATCAATAATGGTCGAGGAAATTTCATACCTTGACTTCCGTTCCATCGCTAGTCGCAAAGGCCCAGCGACCTGCCTTCTTCTTACCCCAGAACCAGGTACGTGCGTACTTGTCGCCCCGATGACCGGTGACCACACTTTCCCAGCCGGTTGCATTGGAAGCATCGGCATTTGTAGCCTTGGGGTTCGACCAAATAGGACCAGACGTGGTGATACCCATACCACCATCACGGTTCAGACTGCAAGCGATACAAGTAATCTCGGGAGCCTTGAGGTCATCCACTGGCGATTTACTCGAGTTACTCTGGCCTGCCTTCTTGGCTTTGCTTTCCACATTGCCCTGGGAGATTTCAGTATGCTGGCTATCCTTGCGCAGACTTAGTCCCCAGAGACTGCAGTCCTTGCTAGCACTCATGAGCCACTTGCCACCGGAATCGGATCCGTCCGAAGAGGCTGGCAGGAAGTCAATGGCACTGACAGCAGCGGAATGACCGTTTCTTGCGTGAAGAGGTCTGGGGATAGGCGAGAAGGGGGTTGCATCGAAGATCCAAGTCTTCAACGCATTGTCATCACCCGAGGACACTAGTACAGGCTGACCGTCCAGGAACTCGACATTGTTCGCTCCCATGGACTTCTCACCGCTTGAAACCTTGTGGGCACTGCGGAGAATGCCGGCAACACGGCCTCCCTCGTTCAGATCCCAGAGTGTGATATCGCCACTACCGCTCGACGCGGTGGCCATGACACCTGGGATACGGCCATCGGGACCAGCACCAAGACCGTCGCTTCGGAATGTAATAGAGGTCACGGGAAGACCCTGAGACGAAGCAGCTCGCAGAGCCAAAACTGTCTGGCCAGAGTTGACATTTTGAATCGACAATGCGCCGCTCTTGTACGCAATGGCAACAAGAGATAGAGCGGGGGTAGGGCTAATGGCAGTCACTGGTCCAGCCTCTGCAGACAGAGCAGGCAGAGTGAAAAGGAGCTTTCCGCTGCGGAGGTTCCAAATATCGACCGCTCCATCGGTCCGGCCCACGAAGACCTTGTTCAGATAAGTGGGCATGTTGCACATGACCCCGGTGTAGACCTGATCAGAGCCCTGAACAGGCTGCGCACGCAGACTAGCATAGTGCTCATATGTTCCCGTCTTCCACACTTCAACACCACCAGCCCAGCAACCAACGACCCACGAACCGAACACGACCAATCGCTCGATGGGACCCGTCAGGTCCGAGGGACTATCAAGAGCTGCGACCTTCTTACCACGCTTAAAAACCCAAACACCACCCGGAGACCGTGGCCGGAGATGACCCCATGACGCGAATACCTTATCCTGCCACGCGCAAGTTGCGGTGATAATCTCGGGGGTTTGCGGCCGACTCAGGAAGATTAGGTTCAGGCCTCGGCGCAAATCATAAGTCTGCAGGGTATGTCCGACTGAGGTGGTAATCTGGAAGGTCGATTTGCCCAGGCGTACCGAAGTGAAAGGGACCGGTGTGGGTGACACTAATCCTAATGTCTTCACGGGACATTGTCAGCTGGAGCACGGAGTTGGGAATGTGGCCTTCAACATACACGGAAGGGAGCGAAGATCTTTGAGCCTCGCGCTTGCCCCTTGGCAAGTTGAGATGTGCGCTTCTGCCTCTTTGCCAGAGGCGCATCGTGCTTGTCGCTAGCAGCAGCCATTCTGATATGGAATCTGGAGATGGACTCGAGATAGATGCCGGCGAGACAGCGGGGATTGTAGAGAGACTAAGAGTACCAATGCAATGCTTCAAATACCATTGGCTTCCAGATATCCCCCAACACAAACAGCTTGAGTATGTGCTTTGAAATCGTCTCCGCCTGGCTGAGCTCTCTTTTTTTTTTCCCGCTGTTTTTTTTCTGCCCCGCCTAATCCTGCATAGCATAGACCGCCTTCTCTTACAGGAAGAAGTACATAATCACGAAGTACTCAGTACCTGCAGCGGTGTGAATTGTACTGATAAATATATCTGAAATATAATACTATGAAGCTCGATAGATTATATATGACGTGCGTATGTATTAATCCTCTAGTGTTAGCCACCCGACTCACTATCATCGGCATTTGCCTCAAAAGGAGATGATCACCTTATCAAGGATGTCGTTGCGTATCGAGTACCTCTAGACAAAGTACCTGGCTATATTTACAAAAGTACTTTAATTCCACTAGAAGCACGACATAGACGAAATAGATCCAGTAGGCAATTACCACTCAACTATAAGCTCAAACATCCGGCTCGTCATGAGCGCAGATACAAAGTTGGTGAACCTCTTCACCGTCTCTCCGCCTGCGGGCCCATTCTTTGGTAATACAGTCTCTCTCTCTCCGAATGCGACGTTGATCTGTTCTTCTCTTCTCTCTTAATTTTAACATTTATCCTTCTCACTCCGGGGTTTCTGATATCCTGTTCACCCCACTTTGCCCCTCTTATCAGTGGGACATTCCCAGTCCTGTCCGTTATGGATCCCGCTGGCTCTCTCAATGTCGACTCCTCGACCCCTACAGATCCTATCATGACGGCCTCTCCTCCCTCGTCGATGGATACCGAGAACGAACAGACACCCACAGAGCTGATCCCCGAGCCAACGGGATTGTCGCCAACCAAGCCCGTCCAACCCACAAAGACTGCAGGAAAACCTGACTCGGTATCTGAACCTCGGCCCGGTGGTGTAATTGGACACTCTACACGCTCCTCGAGCCGGGCACCTAGAAGATTCAGCGGAAGCACAGCTGCCAGCACGGCCGCAAGCTCTATCAGCGAGGTGGAATCCAGCTCTCTCAAGCCATGGAGGATTGGAGTCTGTGCATTGGATGTCAAGGCTCGCAGCAAACCGAGCCAGAATATCCTGACCCGGCTCCAATCAAAAGGTGATTT